TTGATCTTTTTTAATTAATTGTTTATTAGCTTTTTATTTTTCATAATTTTAGTTTTAGCATTCAAATTCAATTGTAACTTAAGTTTGTCTTTTATACCTGTGATTTTTAGTTATTTCGTAAATTACTTAACCTAATGAGTTCTGTAAATTAATTCTGAAAAACCTAATTGGGAGAATTAATAAAACGTATTGTATTGTGTTAATCTACAGACTTTTAAAGAAGGATGAGGACCTTGGCCCTGCACGATAAAGATACAAGAAAGTCAACCATCAATAAGTACTGTAGAATTATGAAAGACGAAATAGAAAGGAAAAATAAAATTGTTCTTTTCAATATGAAATGACAGTTTAAGTTGAGAAAATAAAGTTTGAAGAAAAATGACTAATGAATAATCCATACTGTTGTCTTTGCTTTTCGTCCAGTTGTTATATTTTGGATAAGTTTTGCCACAAAAGAATCACCAAGCCTTTGAAACCATTTCATAAGAAATTCAGTATCAGAAAAACGTTGGTAGATCAGGTTCAGCTACTCGATAGCTTGGATTTTGGGGAAAAATAAAATACCATAAATTCTATTCAAATTAAACATTGATAATTTCGCTTCTTTTTAATGTTTTCGGATTTTTTTTTTCTTTCATAAAGAACGTGGTGATCCCCGTGAAAGCTCAGACAAACGTGACCTGCGAGAAAGAATTGTTTAGTTTAATTTATCTAATGTTTACTTTAAAAGAACAAACGCTTTTTCTAGTATTTTGGGGCAAAAATGAGCAAGTCTACCATTGCACGCAATGATACTTGAAGGCTATGTTCACACTATACTGATAGCTTTTCGGATAACAAGAATAGCTATCAGATATAGTATCAACAGCAACGGAGCAGAACTGGAACAAGGTCGTTCACACACATCGAACATCGTGCCGGAGCGCTTGGCCGAGAGGGTTTGGTGATCTAAATCCCAGGCCTCACTCATGAATATTTATTAGTGTCTCAGTTGATTCCAGGCCTCGTTCCTACTTCACTACCGCGACTGTCCGATACCTGTTAACAACGAACCAGAACTTAACTGATATGTGACGCTCCACCTCCTAGATCGGCAAGGCGCAGCTTAAGCTCCGTTAACCTGACAAATCGCTTTGAAATAAGCTTATCCGATATGGTTTTCGGGCCGGCGCAAGAGCTATCCTCGCCAAATGAATACGTTGCATATATTAAATAATATGCGACATTGGATAAGGTTCATTGAATTTTTTTGTATACAGTGAAGAATGTGTGACAACATAAATTTACTTCATCAAGTTCCATGGTTTATAATTATTATCCATTAGATGAATAACTTACACGCGAAATAAATTACGCGCGCTGCGAAAGGAGAAAAGAGAAGAAAAGAAATAAAGTAAAGTTATAAACTTCTGAAACACTTAGATAGTTTTCCCAAAACGTGCACGCAAACACAACCCTATTTTTTCCAAGATTTGGCGATGTCAGTCACTTCAATTTCTGGTTAAAAAGGACAGCTACTTTGAACTCAACTGCAGAGAACCCGCATTTAAGACAAATAGTAAAGGGATTAATGCTGGTCAGACTAACTATGGAGTAAAAATTTAAGTGCATAACGAGCAATTGATGTATTCAAATCAACAGCTGTAATTCAAAATGATTGTTGCATGCCTCTGATAAATTTTTAACTATAATTTCTCATTGCGAGGCATAAAACCAGACAGCAGCTAGAAATCGAGCAATTCGTCTTTTGATGGCCTAATAAATTTATTGTCTAGAACATTTTTATAAGTTTAAATGATCAATATTGATAATAGCGCATTTAGAGTACCTACTTTCTTTTCTTCGTGCAAGAATTCACACTTTGACAAAAGAAATTGCATACTAATCCATTTTGAGCAAAACAAGTACTTGTTATGGTATGAAGGTGCAAAGCAAGCTACGGGACACGAAAAAATTCCGCATTCGAGAAAGAGAACGAAGAGAACAGAGAATTATCTTTAGACCGACAGAATTCCATTCATAAAAAATGCAAAATTAACAAGCCCGTTTCATCTACTAAAAACCTTAAAAATATCAAGGGCAGTGCAAAAGGGCTTTTAAAGAGGTTTCGTTTGAATGGTCACACTATATGAGTTCGTTCCTCAACTCAAACGTTGCAAGTGCAGGTTCCGACAGGTTCCTATAGCTGGCGGCAATGGGAGTGAAAACACATTCAAATTGAAACCGGTTAAAAAAAAAAAAACCACACACGACTTAATCTGATATTAAATGATGGCCCTCTACAAGAACCCTTCGATAGTAGGTCTTTCCAATGGCTTGCTAGCCCGGCCTTCACACGTTTTTAACCGATTTCTATCATAACAGGGAATATCTAAGGCTTGAATTCAAGCACAGTCGTGAAGGAATTTGCTTCAAAGAAAGATTTTTTAAGAACTTAAGAGAGAAAAAGTCACATTAACTCTTTTGTGTTTCGGTATTGTTTCAACTCGAAAGATAGCTGCAGGGCACGAAAAATTTCCGCATAGGAGAAAGAGAAAGTAATAAACACTCCGTATAAAAATTCCAGGGAATTTTCCTGTTTTAAACAAACTCTTATTTATGGATTATTAATGGAAGGTCAGGGCACCTAGATCAGCCCCTTGATGACTTATTATTTTGAAAATAGTTTTTAATTAAATACCCTGCATTGTTGTACAATACTGTCATTTCACAACTACTATTATAAATACAGTCAAATGCCATTAATACTGACACTGAATGTTGCAGAACAGTGTAAAAGAAAGATTGGGCTCATAAGTATATGGAGACCATTACACTTTGAGGGTGAACATTTCACTGCGGTGTTAATTTGACATTTTTTATGATTCGACTAGGAGCAAAACCAGTTAGTTTTAAGATACCTGTTTTACAACCATTCAAACGGTGTTTAATTAGGACTTTCATGCATAGAAAACATGATGGATAACACAAGAGCCAAAAGATAAAACAAAAAGTACTTATTGTGGTTCTAGGTGAAAAAGGAATTTGAAACAAAAGACCTTTCTCGGTAGTTGGGATCTTAAAAACCACTTTCTTTTAAGGAGATCATGCAGAACCAAATATGGAAATAAGAATCGATTCAGACAAAAGAGTAGCACAAAAACTACCTTCAAAGGTGCCGACCAGAGATTAGGTTGATTAAAATAGCATGCAACCTGGAATACCTGCAGGTAATGTTTCCTCAAAGCGAAGTTAACAGTTTTGGAAATAAAG